GCAACCAATCACATTTACAGCAGTACTTAAAGAAACAGTACTACTATCATGGCTTATATATTGCTAACCCAACTGTTAGACTACATTCCTAACAAGCTTGACTAGGAGAAGAAATATATGGCAATAAAAACGCTAAAGTTTCAGTGCAAAATTCAGCCTAATCTGCTGTTTCATATGATGCCATTAGATTATATGAGCGCTTGTATTACCTTTCATAACACTGCTGAGCAGACTTCCAAAATCCTGCAAGAGATCGAGCATAAAGTCATTTGATTTTCTTGCCAGTCTTTCTTGAAATGTTGCTGAAGGTTGTTTAAGTGGCAGAGATCTAATGTTGGATAGAAGCTGTAAGGAAATCATGCTGGAGACGAAGACGTTGAAAATCCAGATAAACCATTAGATCACTGTGGTTTATCCCTGCAGAATACTTCCTACCCACTTTAAGATTCCCCTGAAGTGAACAAAGCCCCCTGCATTCCTGAGGTTCAGTCAGTGAAGCAAAACCTTGCATTGAGATGAGTTAATTAACCAGGCGTGCTTCGCTTTATTTTGTGAGACTCGGTTTGTTTTGCCCAAAGAGGTCAAATGTTAAAACAGACCTGTTTGATTTGCCACCAAACTGTTTAAGAAGGTTTGTGTGAAGTTTCTTGCAGCCAGAAAAAAAAGTCTTCTCTTGACATCATGTCTGACTTAAACACTGCGGTGAAACACTTTGGTGTGCAGTTTTATGAAAATGGTTATCTCAAGTTGCATGCCTGCTGAGTTTGATGATGGTTTTGAATGGCAAGGTTTACAATGTCATCGGCTGAAATTCAAAAGTAATTCAGTGTTATCCCAAGGAAACTGGATTTCTCCATTCCCCTTTTCTATCGCAGCTGTTACAATATCCCTGATAAATTAAATGGCTGAATAGGAAAATGAAACTAGCTCTTCCTAGCCCAACATCTTCCCTATGGTTGCGCACAACACTTCTCCAGACTATCTGATGTCACCCAAGTTTTCTCCTGAGCAAATGCTTACTAAAGCCGTGCTGTAGTAGCCATTTTTATGAAAATTTATTCTTTGTAATAAAATCCTCCGTAAACTTCACCATGAACTTATTGAATTGCAAGCTGAGGCATTTAGATTTCTGGAATATGATTGGTTTTTTTTTTCAAAGCACAAGAAGATATTCCAGTCAGAAATGATATGTTGCAAAATTTTCTTGAGAATGATTAGGAGATTTTCCAAATAATTTTCAGGAATTATTTGGAAACCAATAGATGTGTCAGTTTTTCCAATCTCAACCAATATTATCTTAAATCATAAGGGATTCCCTATGAATACGATTAGATTTATTGTGGAAACCTGTAGAAGTGTAAATGTTTATATAATAAGCCTAACTATCAAGGCACAGTGGTTAGAATGCAGTACTGCAGGCTACTTCTGCTGCCTGCCGGCTGCCTGCAATTTGTCAGTTCAAATCTCACCAGGCTCAAGGTTGACTCAGCCTTCCATCCTTCCAAGGTAGGTAAAATGAGGACCCAGATTATTGGGGGCAATGGGCTGACTTTAAACTGTTTAGAGAGGGCTATAAAGCACTGTGAAGCAGTATGTAAGTTGAAGTGCTATTGCTATTGCTCTGTTTCTCTTTAATTGAAGATATTCCCACGTGTTTTTTGATGCCATTCTCTCAAAATCACTGCAGTCCTGCATTCTTACACTGCTGAGTCAATTTACTTCCACTTTTAAAAGACAGACTTTAAGGGGTTAGAATTCTCTCCTCGTCCCAGTGATTCATCTCTCTCATTTTACCATAAATGTGCAAGTTCCATCACAGCTGGCTTTAGTAGAGCAGAGAGGAGTTTCATGTAAAGCCGAGGTGGCGCAGTGATTAAATGCAACACTGCAGACTACTGCTAGATCAGCAGGTCAGCGGTTCAAATCTCACCGGCTCAGGGTTGACTCAGCCTTCCATCCTTCCGAGGTGGGTGAAATGAGGACCCAGACTGTGGGGG